AAAATGATAAACATTTGTGGGCTTAAAATGCATCCTTGTCTTGTTCCAGTATTACAACTAAAATAATTTGATAAACCGTTTGTAGGTCGCACACAAGCTATCAAGTTGATACTATGATCTTCATAAAATTACCACCCGCACCTACTGCCCGCAGAGTACTCAGCAAAACATCATTAATTTGTTAATTGAATCAAAAGCCTTTGAAAAATCTATAAATAAACAATAAAGTACATGCTTACGAACGACAGAATGCAAACAGAATACGCTATCAGTTGAACGATCCGCTCTGAAGCCAAACTGTGCTTCGTCAATAACACCATGTTCAACACACCAACCCTGAAGCCTAGAGTTCAGAGTAAAACAAAAAACCTTGCATACTGTATCGAGTAAAGAAATTCCTCGATAATTATCAGGAGAATGCCTATCCCCAGACTTAAACAAGGGACATATAATACTCTTACCCCATTCTTTGGGGAAATTGCCACTTTCAAATATCTTATTGAACAATAAAACTAATACAGATGAAATATAATTCTTAGTTTTAGATTTAGATTCTTGGTCTTTGTGTAGTTTATATTTTCTATAAGAATGAATATATTGGCTTGTGGATTTTGAGAAAGATTCACTGTTATAAAATCGATTAACTGTCATGCAATTCACCTTCAAACCCTTCATGCATCATGGATGCGCCCTGTTTTCATCAGCTCATGAAGGACAACAAATTGTCTGACGGTATCTATAAATTAATAAATCAATTTAAAAACTCAATTTAATGCCATCTGCGGCCATGAAGCGACCTGCAGTTCACGGACACCTTTCCAAGTTCCACTATCTACATACATTAATATAGCACAGGTTCTCACTAAACTCCCTTCTTGCCATCCATGTTTGATCATATAAACCCTACACTCGTGTATTTGTCGTCATTCACTTGCTCATTCATTGGGTTTATTACAAGTATTATTTAGTGGTGACAGCACTCGGAATACCTCGACTCGAGTTCATTAATGACTCTGAGGGTGTCACGTGTGCTATCTCAATGGACCAGTGGGACCTGACACCAATGTGAAACAACTGGCACTCTCATTAAGAGAGACGAACGCGTGTTATAACATCCTGAAATATCCTGTTATATATTTTTAACACTGCATTGCTACAAAGAACAAGTTTCTCTGTACGGCATTAGGTGTTTGGGATACTTTTCCTATATGTGGATATTGACGGATATATTCCTCGAGCAAGGTAACCACCATTTACTATACTTATAGCCTTTTTAGATGTAATCAAAATATTAATTTTGAATAATAGCTATCAGTTATTATAAACTGTCATTGTATTGAACATATTTAGTAAAACTTAAAACTTAAATACCTCAATATTGGGATGTATGATTTCTGATAAAATACACTTTCATTCGATCATTACACTCAGTTTTATTAAAGTAATTCATTGGATATTTTGTACCGAACCCCATGTATGTCATTACTTTGGTCACCAGTGAAACATACTAGCTAATGGTGTGTACGTAGTTATAAATGGAACAGGTGCATCTGTAAGGGTGGAAATAATTTAATAGTACTTTTACACTGTACCTTTTAAAAAAACAAGAGCTAAATGAGCACATTATTGAAAAGATCCCGTAAAAAAGATGAATGATAACAAATATGTGTGAGAAAATCTACGCAGTCCAGCACATTTGGTCACCACTCGTCGCTTTCCGTAAACTCTAAAAAGAATAGTCCCCTCAGTCGTCACCACTCGCCGCTTTCCGTAAACGCTAAAAAGACTAGTCCCCCTAATCGCCAGCACAGAGACTCTGGGTATGTGGGTTCGAATCCCGGAAAAGCCAACAAAAGTACTAGAATCTGTACTTTACTAGGAAAGTGTAATCCCAAATACATGTATAACATATGTTACATTTGACCACTTTCTAAATGACATTGTGTAATCCTTCTTTTTAATGGAGGTTTACTCCATTAAAAGAAATGAATTAAAACAAACAAACAAACAAACAAAAACAGCAATACGATATACAAGTGCTTCGATGATATGAAGTACTACTAGAATCACACAGAGTTATCGTTCTTATTTGAAGTGTAGTTCTGATGTTCATGCGCCAATATGAAATCTCCCAGAGGGGCACGAGTCGCTATTCGGCTTGTCCCGGAATAACACGAGTTGTTCACGAATGTGAAAAGACCATTCGTAACTACTCGTCCCTTTCCGTAACCTGAAAGTAGACTCGTACCCCTCTCGTAGCAATGTCCGGGAGAAATATTCCTCCAGCCAATCAGAATGCGCGTATGTAGAGAAGAAATTGGGTTAAAATAGGTCTTAGAAATATTTTTCATTTGGGTTTGCATAATATTTTCCCAGACACTTCAAGTAAATTCTAATTAATGCATAGTCCTCCTGGTTTTCCTGATTTTTTATAACAAGAATATATTAACATTATGGCGTAGGAAAGTATTTAAGCATGTTAAACATACCCTTTGAGGTTATTTCCTTGGCGTGGATGCCATGTGTGTTTTCCAAGTAAACTAGAGCTACATGCCTTTGAAAATAGTTCGGCGACTAAACTATTTCTTTCTCTCTGCGCCTTTGCGCTGAGACAGAGCCACGTTCAATAAAATGGCTACGAGAGGGGTACGAGTCTACTTTCAGGTTACGGAAAGAGACGATTAGTTACGAATAGTAAAAAGACTAGTCCCCCTCATTCGTCACCACTCGTCGCTTTCCGTCACCTGCAAAGTTCGGGGATCTTAAACGTAACGTGAGGAACGTCTACTCCCATACACTAACTGCGATAGAATGGGGCCCAAATGATTATTATACTATCACATATGTTTACGAGGTACGTCTTCCGTAGGATGCTGTTGATCACTGGATTGTCTGGTCCAGACTCGATTATTTACAGACCGCCGCCATACAGCTGGAATATTGCTGAGTAAAACTAAATTCACTCGCTCGCTCAGTAGGATAGCTGACAAAGACTAACCACAATCATGATTGTAGGTACCACACAACATCAGACAATAAAAGTTTAATTTAAAAAGTACTTTTATATATATATATATACTATCCCCAAAAAGAAACGGATAGACGTTTTGTATTTTTACAAATCTATTAATCACCTATTGTGTTCAAACAATCGTTAAAATATGTAAAGTGTTGATAACATGATTTTACACAATTGCACAAGTAAACAATCGACTTTACCTGAAAATGTTGATTTAAATGAGATTTCTTACAAGGATTAAAAAGGCATCGCCACAACGCAACAGAAATCACCTACCAGATGAAATTGTGCAGCAAAGAGCATGCACTGTCTGGCTATAAAAATCCATATTACTTTCGGAAATCGGCATTCGTTTTGAAGGAGTTTCATGGTCAAATTACTACACCACGCCTTGACGCTGCGACACTGAACATCGCCATTGAAAGAATGCACGTTGGAGATTACCAATCTTCTGTTGCCAGGCGTCTGAATGTTAGTCTGAGCATGATATCACAGCTTGCAGCTCGTTACAACCAAACTGATATAACAAATGACCGTCCCCGTACAAGCAGACCTCGAGTCACCACTGAAGCCCAAGATCGGTACATCCGGGTACTCCATTTGCGTGATCGTACTGCCACGAATGAGAGCACAGCAGCCAGGGTGCCTGGACTTCGGAGGATATTTGGTCAAACTGTACGGAACAGATTGAGAGAGATTGGACTGAGAGCCAGGAGACCCGACGTTGGGGCCGTGCTACGTGGTCACCATCGCGCTCAACGTCTCCGTTATCCCTTGGTTGTGGTGTAGATATTTCCTTCTTCTAAACTGAAGCAAAAATGCATGTACTAAAGTCTTATTGTGGACGAGTTATACATGTTTGAAAATACAACATTTTCGCAACAGATTTCTTGGTTATGCGTTTCTTTTTTTTTGGATAGTATAATTACATTTCTGTCACGCGTTGATTCAGTTCGAAAAGAGTACGCCCGGAGAGCGGAAGGTCGCGGGTTCGATCCCCGACGGGGTCATACCAAAAGACGTTAAAATATGGTACTTGTTGGTCCCTGCCTGGCGCTCGGCATTAATGGGTACAACAAGGACTGGTCGGCTCGGAGTCAGTATAATGTGTCTGAGTGGGGTATTCATGCTTCACTGCGGAATGGTATCTCAGTGGGCTAGCACTATAAAACCAGCTTCAGTGTGGGCCAGTACAAGCAGCCGCACATAAATATACACACGCATGCACGTCATCATATGAGCGAAATATTCTCAAGCACGACGTTAAACCCAATTTCACCTCACCTCGAAAAGAGTTTAGTGTGAATCCAACAAACAACAAAGAGATGTAAATCGCCAGTGCCAAGAGCTGCGATATGATTAACAATTGTGTTCATAACAAACTAACTATACAAATCAATACACAACTCAACAAAGGATTACAATAACAGTACAAAATAGAGAGATACAGTATATATTCAATGGTAAAACAAAGACAATTACATTATAATATTTGATATTATTTATTTGACCTGAGCACCATCCAATCGCATGTAAAAATTGAATTACCTCGAGCCCAACATCTCAATATGTGTCTCTTTCCAGCAAGTCAGAATGAGGGTCAAATTAAGAAAATGGGTGTTCCTGATTCTGGTTCTTTGCACTTCGCTGTTGCTTGTGGCTCGACATGGAATTAGAACGGCCAGTTTTGACACAAGGCAGCACATGTCTGCACACGCATACGCATCTGAATCCAAGAGAGTAAATCAAAAGTCAGTGAAGCTTGACATCCGATGTGTGGGAGCAGATCAGCACCAGGCAGAAGATCTATTTTGTATGGTATGTAAGCAGTACTCTCCTCTCCTTCTGTGCAATATCAATTATTGAAAAGTTTTAGTGTTTTCTTGTAATCAAGACATGGTTTTACAGAAAAAAGTAGCTTTACCAACGTTTTGTGCGCGCACATCACTGATATTAGCCAAGAAAACTTAACTTGTATCCATGTGTGTGTGTGTGTGTGTGTGTGTGTGTGTGTGTGTGTGTGTGTGTGTGTGTGTGTGTGTGTGTGTGTGTGTGTGTGTGTGTGTGTGTGTGTGTGTGTGTGTGTGTGTGTGTGTGTGTGTGTGTGTGTGTGTGTGTCTAAATATCCATCTACAAGTCTGATAACAGTCAGAGAATAACGCCTTTAATAATAAACCTCAGTAACGTGCACGTCGTATTTTGTAATATTCTATGACATATCCCAGGAAAGACCCACATATCTGCCAAACTTCAAGAACCCCTGCTGGTATGCAAAAGAAGATGGGAAATTACGTCTCAAGTGTGTACCTTATTACCATCTTCTTGGAGTGGCCAAATCAAGTACCACCGACCTCGCCTACCGCATACGGGTCCATGAAGACGTCATCGGATGTAACAGTTGTATTGGGGAGAAGGAAAGTTTCTACTGGTGCCGTAGAAGATATGGTAATACTAACATTATTTCCGCACTTCTTGGTACATATGTTCACATACAGACTAGTATATTTATACCACGTATTTATGGAACAAATATCACGCACACAGCGGATGCTTTGTTAGATATAATAATTCGTAGGATTAAATAAATCTTGGTGGAAAAAAGGTGCTATTGAATAATCACAAAGGGGCAGATTTCAGGTACATACAATTTGAGTTCAGATGTTATTCCGAGCGTATTTTGAAATATGGACATACCTATGAAACATAATGTTACATCACAATTGCCGTTAGTGGAAGTACTACAGTGCCTGGCCAAAAGTGAGTCATCAAAATGGCCGCAGGAAATATTTGAAGTGCGGTACCTGTTTTATTTTGCCATTTCTTGTAATCGTTTTAAATTGAGTTGAAACACATAAGGTAAGTTGTCTAGTATATCTGAAGATAATTCAAACCGGAAATAGGACTAAAGGGAGGTAAGTTAAATATTTCCTGTCGTCTGCTAGCCATGGCTGCCAAACGTAAACAAATGACAACTGAGCAAAAAGAAATCGCTGTCAATTTACATCTAGATGGCCGAAGTCAAAGATATATTGCTGATATATTAGGAGTAAGTCAGTCTGGTATACGTAATTTTTTAAGCGATTTGCTGAAAGGGGGAATATCGAAAAAGGGTCACGAAGCGGTCGGCCCTCTTTGTGCGATGATCCGGTGGATCGGAAGATTCTTCGTTGTGTTAGGGACAATCGAAGAACACATTTGAGTGAACTGACCAATCTTGTGAATCTGTCATTGCCTCATAAATTATCTTCAAGGACTGTTAGACTGTAAGCTTTCATGGATTCACCCGTAGGATTCAAACCGTTAGAAAGGTTATCACTATCAGTCCAAACAACAGAAAACTTCGTGTAGCATGGTGACAGAACGATTAAATCGCACTCTGGATAATTATTGGAAAAGGGTGATATTTTCCGATGAGACACAAGTTGTAATTGATTGGCAGAAGTGTGTCAGTGTTTGTTACGTGGTACGTAGTCAAGGTTATGCGAGTTGTGCTCTTTGTTGACGCATGTGAACTACGTCACTATATAGGTCGTCCGCCATGATAAAAGAAGCTCAAGGATATGTGTTGTTCTCTTACTGATCTTACTGAAGTCAGGTAACATCTCTCTCACGAGCCGTCTCATCTCTGGCTCTCTCTCTCTCTCTCTCTCTCTCTCTCTCTCTCTCTCTCTCTCTCTCTCTCTCTCTCTCTCTCTCTCTCTCTCTCTCTCTCTCTCTCTCTCTCTCTCTCAACATGAGTGAAGTCACCTCTCCAATGCGTAACCTCACAAAAAAAGGTACCATGGACAAGGTCCCAATTTCAACAAGACTCCTTCTACAAGGTGAAGTCCATGGTCTCATCTACTCCTGTGTTATCATTCTATGACCCAACCAAGCCAGCCACTCTGGAGAACGAGGCCTGTTAATATGGTCTTGGCTCAGTACTGGCTCAGGAAGGTCGCCCTGTCGCCTATGCCAGTCGGTCGCTGACCGATGTAGAGAGGCGCTACGTGCAAATTGAAAAAGAATTGCTTTCTGTAGTTTTCCGCTTACAAAAATTCCACCAGTATACTTATGGCCAACATGTGACTGTCATCACAGATGACAGGCCTCTTGCTGCCATAGTGAAGAAGCCCTTGGCAAAGGCACCTAATCGACTCCAAAGTCTCCTACTTAGGACTCAGAACTACAACTTTGATCGCCAGTATCAACCAGGAAGTACCATTCCTATCGCAGATACTCTGTCTCGAGCTCCTCCCCCTGACAAGCTGCAGTTAGAACCCGTGCAGGTGAACAGTGTGATGTACACGAACACCACCGACCATAGCCTTGATCAAATCAGAGTAGCTAATCTGACAGGCGACATTCTCTCTCAACTCAATACCATTATCGTGCAAGGTTGGCCTGATGTCAAGAATGACCTCTCTCCTGAACTGAGGACCTAAAAGTACTGTGTTCTGGCCCTTGATGTCAAGTGATACTAGACAATATTTCGAATCCTGTGATATCTGCTAGAAGTTCTGTGACAAGCAGTCACCAGAACCTTCTCTACATATGAAATTCCTGATCATCCCTGGGAAAAGGTTGGAAGTGATATCTTCACTATTGAAGGAAGAAACTACTTAGTTGTCACAGATTACTATAGCACTTTTTTCGAACTTGACTTTCTGCCTGACACTACCTCGGAGACCGTAATACACAAGCTGAAACACCACTTTGCCCGCCACGGAATCCCTCGAGTTGTCATCAGCGATGGTTGACCTCAGTACACTAGTGACAAATTCAAGATGTTCAGAGAGTCATGGGGTTTTGCCCACGAAACCTCAAGCCCTGGCAATAGCAAGGCAAATGGAACTGCAGAGGCTGCCGTCAAGATCGCGAAACGGATGATGCGCAAGTGCAGAGAAGCCAAGGAGGATCCTTATCTTGGACATTGAACATCCGAAACACACCAACAGAAGGTCTGGAAACCAGCCCAGCTCAACGTCTCTTTGTTCGCACAACGAAAACGCAACTTCCAAGCTCAGTCTCCAGTCTCAAACCTCTCTCTGAGACCAACACTTAAGCCAACTTGGTTGACAAACGTCTGAATATACCTGATCGTCACAATCGGAGATACTCTGGCAAGCCACTCCCACCTTTGAAAGTGGGAGATCACGTTAGGATGCACCCCATCCAACAGGGACAGAAGGAATGGACGGAAGCCACAGTGCAATCCAAAATGAAGAGTCGAACTTACACTGTGATGTCTAAGAAAGGCCATACCTATATATAGAAGGAATCATCAACAGTTACGGCTGACTCGTAACTCGACGACCCAGACCCTGGACCCTGGAGTCCTAGACAACGCTCCTATTCACTCTGAAAAAAGGATGAACGTGCAGTCCAATGAAACTCCTGCAACTGCACCCAGTGCTGTTCCTGACAACTTCGTCAACAAGCGACAGATTGTTCCTAAAGATATCCCAGAGACTAATCCTGTGCTCCCTTGCACAACCCGGTCTGGCCGTGTTGTGAATCCGGCCAAGAAATACGATGCATAGGCTGAAATGTGTTAAAGTTTGATTTTAAGTTTTAATGTGTATTTCACATGGACTCTTAATCCTAGTAGGATATTACTTTTCAGTTATGCCAAAGGACTCTAAATAGTTGAGTTGAAATATTGTTTCCAGATTCCTATGGACTCTTAAACTGCTTAAGCGTAGTGGTAATGAAAGTTTGAATTTGAAAGCTTCGAAGATCAATATGCAGCGTCATGAATAGTCCCAATCATGTGAAAGTGTTATATCTACTTCTCTCTTAAAGGAGATGAGGTGAGGTGAGGTGAGGTGAAATTGGGTTTTACGTCGTACTTGAGAATATTTCGCTCATATGACGACGTGCATGCGTGTGTATGTGGATGTGCGGCTGCTTGTACTAGCCCACACTGAAGCTGGTTTTATAGTGCTAGCCCACTGAGATACCATTCCGCAGTGAAGCATGAATACCCCACTCAGACATATTATACTGACTCCGAGCCGACCAGTCCTTGTTGTATCCATTAATGCCGGGCGCCAAGCAGGGACCAACAAGTACCATATTTTAACGTCTTTTGGTATGACGCGGTCGGGTATCGAACCCACGACCTTCCGCTCTCCGGGCGGACGCTCTAACCACTACACCACGGAGGCGGTCCCTCTTAAAGGAAAGGGGATGTTACGTGGTACGTAGCCAAGGTTATGCGAGTTGTGCCCCTTTGTGGACGCATGTATAGGTCGACCGCCATGATAAAAGAAGCTCAAACGATATGTGTTGTTCTATCTTACTGAAGTCAGGTGCCATACACGCACAAGACGTAACAGTGTTTGGCGTAAGCCCAGCGAAGTGAGGCGGCCGTAAAATATCTGTGATGTTTTTGTTTTTTTTGTTTTGTTTTTTTGTTGTTTTGGGGGTTTTTGGAGGGGTGGGGGTTGGGGGGTCACTTTCAGCGGTGTGGGGACTCTGGTACCGGTTGAAGGTACCATCAGTTCAGTCAAATATATCTGTGTCCTTGAGGACAATTTGTGGCCAGTTATCACCACGAACTTTGTCAATAACGAGTGGATTTTCCAAGATGACAATGCGCCGGTCCACTCGCCTCAGTGGAAACAGGAAAATGATGTCCATTGTATGACTTGGCCCTCAGAGCCCTGACATCAATATGATTGAAAATATATGGCGGACATTGAAAAGTCAAGTAGAAAAAGAAATACACAACATCAAAAGCAGAGAAGTCTTAGTGCGAACGGTCACTAGACTCTGGACTCGTCTCCCACTTCACTATATTCAGAGCTTATATGAGTCGATTCCTAGGAGATTGAGACACGTAATTCTCGGCAAGGGTCATGTAACCAAATACTGATCACCAAAGGTAAGTGTACCTACCTTGTATTTCGTTTATTTGGAAAAAAACGAGACATACCCGCACCAGACAAATTCGCACGGCGGCCATTTTGATGACTCACCTTTGGCCAGGCACTGTATATGTGGAATCCTTTTATTCTACTATTGACAGCTAAAGCAATAACTCATATGAGTGAGTGAGTGAGTGAGTATAGTTTTACGCCGCTCTCAACAATATTCCAGCTATATGGCGGCAGTCTGTAAATAATCGAGCCTGGACCAGACAATCCAGTGATCAATAGCATGAGCGTCGATCTGTCTGCGCCATCCGGAACCGATGGTAACTCTTATTAAGTGTCGCATACTAACATGGTGGTATTATTGTCATTATTTATTCGTATTTCTTGTGTCCGATAACACTGATGATGAAAGGAAATGTAAACGAAATTATAAAACAAAATGCGAAACAACAAACCTTATACCAAATCTAAATCAACCTGCCTAATAAGTATTTCTGAAATATAGCCTATTTGTGTCAATGTTCAGAACATGGTCACAGGATTATTATAAGCATTCATCCTTATTATTTGCGTCGTGACACCAACTTGATGACAGTTACATGCAAAGTATCGAGCTTCGAAGTTGTGTCTTGCTCCCATCTGTTGCATGATCCCTCAGTTTTCGCACCAAGATCCGGCATATAATTGGTCTTCAGTGACCCATGCTTGTCGTAAATAGGGACTAACGGGATCGGATGGTCCGGATCGCTGACTTCGTTGATACATGTCATCGTATCCCATTGCGTAGATCGATGCTCATGCTGTTGATCACGGGATTGTCTGTTCCAGTCAATTATTTCAGAAGGCCGCCATATAGCTGGAATATTGCTGAGCGCAGCGTAAAACTAAACTCATTTACTCGGGATTCACACACCTAAAGTACAATTTTCAGTTGGACCACTGTCAGCTGCTTTCCTACGAGTGATGATCTGGGGACATTGTTGTTTCATTCCAGTGCCTGAGCTTAGTCATATGCCGCCTGTAGCAATATTCCAGCGAGATCACGGCAAGGGGCACCAGAAATGGACTTCACTCATTGTACCCATGTCGTAAACCGAACCCGGGTCTTTGGCGTGAAGTTTTGACCACTAGGCTCCCCCATCGCCCCTGTTTGATTCTAAAGTCTAATAAATCTATTTTGGTATATGTTCAGTTGCTCGTCAGAAATAATACCGGAGGAACAGTATGTGAATACAGTAACGCTGAAAACGTATGACCGATATTTAAAATCGATGACATTTACACAGGTTATGAATGGTCAATGCAAGAGAGGCCCCCTTGCAACTTCAGCTGTTTTCAACAAATGTTCTCTGCCGCGTCACAGAGGATAGAGCAAAAGACTACACGAACAGGTTACCACAACATGATTACAGGTAGGTACACATGATAAGAAATATGTTGACGATTTGAAAATTCCCTGCCTGCCCTTCTATTATATGTCTATGTTTGTCAGCAGAAAACCCCGTGGTTTAACCAAAACGGTAAATGTCTAGGACTCGTTTTACTGATGGTTCATGCTTCCTCTCACATCAAACGTTGTATAAATGAAATTATGTGCTGCGCGGCTTTAAGCAAACTCGCTTACTCATGTACTACCTCAGATTTCCGAGGATTGCCAAGTCTACCCCAAAATATACATAACCATCTTTCCTGAATCATTGGGCAAATTTGGAATTCCAACCATGTCGAGATATGTCTCAGGGCACGCAAAGACGCTTGTTACCTGTGCAGGGCATCCCTACGCCTCATACCTTACAGAATAATGCAGAAAAAAATCATTTCAATAAATCTCTGTAATTTTGCTTAATCTACTGCCAACCCCAATCCATTCCTTCTTCGCATAACTTGTATTACATTTAAATCCCATTTTATTGGGGTTGTTGATGTTACATTCTATAAAGTTTACTGAGAAAAATGCCGTTCAACAATAGCATGTATTTTATTTCTATTTGTCCAGGTGACGCAACGCCATCAGATTTTTCCGATTTCCGAGGTTGGCACAAAATACCTCAAAATGCAGGTTTAGAGAAACCAGTGGTTCTGACACCCCATCTTATGAGACACGTGTATGCTGATCCAAAGTTCATCCTCATCCTAAGAAATCCAACTGAGAGGTATCAGCATTATGTGTGGATTTTGTGTATGCGTAATACCTGGGATTTGTTTTGGGTCTTTTTAAACAGAAAAGACAACTGGTTTGAGAAAATTGTCCATTGTCATAAAATGTTCACTGTATATATCTTAAGATCTCAGGTCTATGAGTTGCCGATCTTGAAAGTAAAGGTGACACTCTGAAATACGCATTAAGCTAATGACCGTATAGACTAAAGAATAATTGTCAAACATCGTCGTAATGATTGTGCATTTCTGTGCATTCCTTCACGTATGCAAACTTCTACATGCACTAGTTGCCAAGTGGTTAATCCGCTCGCTCGTCACGCTGAAGACCTGGGTTCGATTCCCCACATGGGCACAATGCGTGAAGCCCTATTCTGGTGTCCCCCGCCCTGACATTTCTGAAATATTGCTAAAAGTGGTGTAAAACCATACTCACTCATTCTACATGCACATACTTATTTTCTTGCATTAGGTCAATTCTACAATTACTGATATATCATTCGTGTACATTCGAGCACATTTGGGTTTCGGATACAGTCCTGAAACATCCTGGAATCCTTCTGATATGCATGTGTATGCCACGAAACTTCCAATATCACTGTTTGGTAGTGATTCAAAAACAAATACCCGTACAAGGGACACTGTCTCATGAACGTGAACAGGTTCCATTTTGAGGTGAATACTAATACAAAAGTTTGGGTTTTTTTCATTGGGGCAAAAGCATTCTAAAGTCATGTTCACTGGTTAACATTGACCAAAACGTTTGTGAAATTGCAAAAAACCGCACCCGTACTTCTGCCTATTTCGGAAACATCCGACAGTTAATGAGCAGAAGCGAGTACCACATGGCATGACGTCATATGTGGCTATTGTCAATGCCTTCTTCTTTGGTTTTACCTGACAACCTGACAGTCACCATGGATTCTGAAGCAGTGAAAGATGTTCCTGATGTCATAGTTGACATGGACGTCAGGAGTGTAAAAGGTCATGTCAGTTCACGGACTTGCAAGCGTAATATGCATAATGGCCGAAGCTGAGATAGCAGAAACTGGTTTCGCGATTAAAATGTACATAATAACTCTTTTGCATTAGAATTGGGGTACATGTTTCTGATGACCTTAACTTTAACCCAGTCAGTTATTGCAATTTTCCATTAGTCTCCTTTAAGGGCAATCCATAGTATCCCTACTGAATACCAAAGTGAAATATCAGAATGTTGACAGAACGTGAACATTTATCACTATTAAATATTTTGTGGTACAGTTCATCAAGGAATAATTGGTGACTTCTATACCTCCTTATGATATGATTGCAGGTTATATTCTGACTTCATGATGATGGGTGGACGTTCAGCTGCAGATTTCCATAACGCTGCCAGTCAATCTATTCAGATCGAGGGGGCCTGCATGAAGAACCACACTGTGGAACAATGTCTGTACAGTCTGGACTTAGCACAAAGACTTCGGGTATGAAAACGTTTTGATTCTAAAGCATGTTCAAATGATAGATTACTCCAGATGTTTTACAGTCCTTTGCTGACTGATTATTTAACAACTTATATTTATTATATATGTAATATGTTTCTCGTGACTATATGGCTGAAATATTGCTGAGGTGACGTTAAATTTTAACTCACTCACTCAAATGCATCGTTAATGGATGATCCAAAGTCTGTTCTTTTCTTTCACAGACTCGTATTTTCCTGGGGTGTTATTCAGTGTATATGCGAGAATGGCTGAAGGTTTTCCCCAGAGAGCAATTCCTTATATTGCGAACAGAGGACCACGATCAAGATCCAAAAGCTCGACTAAGAAAAGTGTACAACTATTTGAAACTAAGTGAGATTTCATTTCTTTCTTTTCCTCTCATAAATAGCGTTCTCCGTTAACCCAACAGAAAGAAAGTACAACGCAGTCCTATTTGCATGAGATAAGCCAGCTTGAAAGTTCACCATATCAACTCCGTTACACTTACACATATTCCTCCTACGGGAAAGATCATATTCCGCCATACTGTATTTCAGATTATACAGAAGATTGGTTGACTTCAATCGCCAATATCACACATAAGCGGGTGAACAAGATGAAGTTAAAGAAGGGGCCTATGCTTAAAAAGACGCGTGTTTTGCTGGACAATTTTTACAGAAGATACAACAAGGATTTGGCAGATCTACTTCAAGACAAGCGATTTCTGTGGTTGACATAGAATCAGCTAAAGAGAATTAAGTGTGGAGAATAGAACCAACAAGCATGTTCATGTAAGCAATTACGAATGACTCAATGTAAGACAAATGCAGAATAAAGCTTCAGACGATAAGCATTAAAGGCACTATATATCACACCACACTTCTCTAAAAATATATAATGCATTTCTCTCAATGATACTAACTAACACCGATCGGGGAAGCTACCATATAATATGTTCCCCTAAAAATTAGGTATTTAGATTACAATTTTAAATTAAAAAGTTTGAATGAATCATACGAATCATACATGTCATACAGGTGGCCCCACCTTAGGCAAGTGAGTTTGTTCAAAATTGCCTCTTTTCACACAGTAGAAAATGGGTACCCGGTGAGATAAGTCACGTGACTATTAATCTTTTATGGCCTCACAGGCAGCTTGGCTTATCCGGGTCAATAATAATCAGATTGTGTGTTATAGCACTTTGAGAATGTACCTTGTACATGGAAACGGCCCAATATAAATTCACATATAGTATTATTATTCTTAAAACCGGATCCCACTTGAGGTATAAAAATTCAATTCTATTATTATAACTGTGGTTACACTACTTATGCATCATATATTTGTAATATCGTATTCTCACAAGGTTTGGGTTATGTATGGATGCTTAAGTCTGTAAGAGATACATCCTTTTTTATTAACGCCTTTAAAAATGTTGCTATTAATATGTTCTTCCAAACCTGGACTTGTACTCTGAATAATAGCTTCAAAAGTTTATTTATCGTAAATATAAAAGCATTTTAGCTTCTGAGAAATATTTAGATTGCATTATTGACTTAGAAATATATTTGTTAAGTTAAGATGTGGTTTATTAAGATTAAAATATAATGAAGGGAGATGGTTAGGAATAGATAACTCTCAACGATTTTGTAATATTGTAATTTACTTACGAGTACCATTTTTTATTCATTTGTACATTATATAGCACTTTACGAATTAAATATTTACAATATGTATATCGTAAAAATCCAAAAATGTACAAATACAGATCTAGTCTATCAACGGATGATGTATTAGTTTTAAAAAGCTAAAGTATTTTTTATGATGTGCATATAAATTAAGAGATAGTATATGTAAAATTTGAGATGATAGATATCATATATACAATCTTCGTTCACCATACTTTATATAATGTTATGTTTTGTTAACCACGGCAATATTGCAATTGATCTCTTGTATATAAAACTGTATATACATGTAGTTTGCATTGTATATTGGCCTGAGGCCTTCGTACTGGAAATAAACACTTGACTTGACTTACTTGACAAAATCACGTTAACAATCTTTGAGAGAAACAAGTCTCATGCCACGCCTAACAAATGTTCGATGTGAACGTGCAACTGGCATGCCCCAGGCTTGCTGGACTACTGTGGCTGTTGCGCGAGCCATGAGATGCAATAGACCTACAATTCACAACCCGAAGACATGTGGGCATCAAACAGGTACGATATGTGATCGCCCCAGGACGGTCATAAGTGACGTCACATGCCGAAAACAATCAAACTGTGCTGCGTCATTTGCGTAATCTGTTTACGATCGCTGCGTCTACCAATAACGCAGTAGATGTTTGATTGGTATGAAGATGAAATCCAGAAAATGCTTTCTGTTCATCAATAACACACTGTGCCCACACAAAACCGCTTGCGCGCTGTCCGTCCTCGTAACTGACTTCCTTCTGACACAGGTAAATCGTAATGGAAGTCTACCCTGGGCACAGCTACACCTGCGCTGGAACCAAATACAATGGAATAAGGTTGTGTTTAGCAGACAGACAGACAGAGGGATTTCGGTCTCAGCGTACAGATAACACATATATAAACATACGTATAAAATATAACATAAATGTGAGCGACTCTTTAAAGGTCACATGCAACATAAAACACAACTTTGCAGATTCTAATACCTTTCGGTATGGACTTACAGTAACAAATTATCAAAAATGCAAATTCAACTTATAAAGGAAACCCGCGAAATCGGAATTCAAACGATTCACTAAATTCACCCCAGCTGGGGTGAAAAGTGGTTTCAACACTATATATTGGAAGTTTTCAATAATGTGATATTTTACGATCAGTGATAACAAGACAAAGTTGAATCAATCATAACCTAGGTTATGAAATGGTCGAAATTGAACCTGATATGAGGTTTCGAAATGTGTACTTCAAAACGTAGGTTTAGAAATGATCAGTGCAAAGTCACAGTAGAGGTCTACCTGATTCTGGAAGGAACCTACTTTACTACAGACAAAATCGGAGATAGGTTTATAAGGGGTATAACCATACTCAAGTAACCTTCACAGCCATACACATCCTTAAACATTCGATACGTTCGTAGTTTATTACCTCCCGTTCTACCGCTTGACTTGCATAATAAATCATACCAATCACTCACATACTTCTGCTTAGAAATATATTGCACACATACACGTTTAACACTAACATTAGCTTACACACTCATCAGCTTCTCCATTCATTTAACCTTGCTTTCACTCGAAAATTCCAATTTCTCACACATCCACTCGAATAACTCTCTGACCACATAAAAACATACTTATTTATTCTTAAATTCTATTAAATATTTAAAACGACAATACTGTATAACAATAGGAGGAACCCATCCCATGTCTCCATTCACAGCATATTTACCCACCCCCAAGAAAAATCTCAAAGAACAATGGTGGACAGCATTTACAGCAGAAACCGCCCGATAACCCCAGACAGTTGTCCATAACTTAAAACTGACCACACTGTCGTGTTCATATGAGTTAGCCTAAGTTGTGGATTCCATTGCTCCAAGTGCCTTATACTTACAAATAAGAAGGCCTAAAGCCCTGTAAGCAGACTTTGCTGCTGCCTTAGCCATTGCAATATAATCAAGATGTTCTGTGGGCAATAGGCCTAAATAATTACAACTATGGAAATTTCTAAAACCGAATTACCAACAGTAAAAACCGCACTTGTTCTTTGTGCAATAATATGTACAATCTTGGATTTATCATTATTAATGCATATACCTTTATCCCCACACAATTGTATAAAATGTACAACAAATGATTTAAATCCTCTGATGATTCTGCAAGCAGAATAATATCATCAGCATAAGCTAAGGCTGCAAAAGTAGTACCATTAACAACAATA